ATTTTGAATATTAAAAAAATAAAAATTAATTTTTAATTTTTTAATTTTGTACTCAAATTTATAATTTTATACATGTGATGATCATACTAAAAATTAATATTAAATTTTATATAAATTTATATAAAAATTTTATAACACATATTATGTATTAAAAGTATAAATTTTTTTTATAAATTTATTAAAATATTTTTAATGATATTTTTTTATAGAAGAAAATTTATACTTTTAATATATAATTCAACTAATAAAATACTTTAAAAAAAAAACCTTAATCTATTACACAAGTTAAAAAACCCATAAAATAAAAAATAAAAGGACCCACTTTGGCGGGGGATACAAAGGAGTTGATGTTGATCCAAGTTACTGCTGTAGGCGGGCAAGTTGGTACCGTTCATCTCCTTCCCTGAGTTCATGCCTCTCTTCCTGACTTATCAAATCTCAACTGCTACTCCTATCTTCAATTAGTCCTCCTTCCCAATTTGAATCCATTCCCACTCTAGATTTCTGGGTTAGCTCTCTTTCAATCGCCTCACTTTGTTTTTTTACTGTTTTTGATTTCGATTTCATAGAGTTTGATCCATGTTTATGTCAATTTTGATTTTTTTATGATGCCCAGATCATAAAAAATTACTTCTGATTCAGTTCTTGATTTACATTTTCATTTGTTGCCTTGATACATCAGATTTTGTTTGTTCTGGGCAGAATCTAGATTTTTTTTTTTTTTGTGTTCTGGATGTTTCTTTACTGCTCTGCTCATCTTTTCTTTTTTCCTATTTCAAGTATCAAGATGCTCCATTCTTGAGTTACAATTCGCTTTTGAGATGCATTTGGGGTCATGTTTTCTAAATTCAATTCCTTTTTTTTATGAAATTTGGTATTATTTCAAGAGTTTTTGAAGTTCTGTTTCGAGATCTAAGGATTATTATTTTTTTTTTTCTTCAATTGTAGTTTCATATGTTGGTTTGCTTTTTCCTTTCTCGATTGGACATGACTTGCCCTTTGTGATTTCTGAGCCATTTTAGCCGATTTGTGTAGGGCTGATAGTTTGTACATTGCAAATTGAGCATCTTCTATTTGATTGCTCCTTTATGAGACTGTTGATCCACATTGGCAATGGAGCACCTTCCTCTTGAAGTCATTGGAAATATATTGTCCAGGCTTATTGGTGCTCGAGATGTGGTGATAGCCTCTACAACATGTCGGAAATGGCGAGAAGCTTGTCGGAAACACCTTCATACGCTATCATTTAATTCAAATGATTGGCCTGTTTATCTTGACATTACAACTAGAAGATTAGAGATCCTGATTACTCAAACAATATTCCAAACCACGGGATTGCAAGGTTTATCCATTTTGATGGATGATGTTGATGAGTTCTCAGCTTCAACTGTTATTGCTTGGCTCATGTATACAAGAGAGACTTTGTGCCGGTTGTTCTATAATGTCAGGACTACCCCGAATGTTAACATTCTTGAAGTTTGTGGGAGGCAGAAGCTGGAAATGTTGTTTCTAGCTAATAATTCTATAACAGGTGTGGAACCTAATTTTCAGAGATTCCCTTGTTTGAAGACGCTTTCTCTAAGTCATGTTAGCATTTCAGCATTGGATTTGAGTCTTTTGCTCTCTGCATGCCCCAAGCTTGAAAATCTGGATCTTGTCAGTCCTGACATAGCAATGTCAGATGCACAGGTGACAGTGGAACTCAGCAACCCAACATTGAAAAGCATTTATGTTGAAGCAACTAGTTTGGATAAGTTTATATTGGAAGCAGATAGTATTGAGCGCTTGCACTTGAGGGACTGTGTCCTTGAACTTTTTGAACTCATTGGAAAGGGTACTCTGAAGCATTTCAAGATTGATGATGTTAGTGTTATACATATTGATATTGGTGAGACAGTTGATAATCTTGAGGTTGTAGATGTGAGCAACTTCACAATTGTTTGGCCAAAGTTCTATCAGATGATATCAAGATCCTCCAAGTTGAAGAAGCTTCGTCTCTGGGAAGTGACTTTTGATGATGAAGATGAGATTGTGGATTTGGAAGCAATTGCTGTTTGTTTTCCACAGCTGAGCCATCTGTCTTTAAGTTATGAATTGAAAGATGGAGTTATGCATTATGGTCTGCAAGGATCTTCACCGTTGGAGAATGTTACTGTGCTGGAGCTTGGATGGACCGTAATAAACGATCTCTTCTCACATTGGGTCAAGGAGCTGCTAAAGAGATGCCCAAATCTTCAAAAGTTGGTTATTAATGGTGTTGTTTCAGAAGCCAAGACCCATGAAGAATGCCAGATATTGGCCAAATTCACCTCATCCATTGTGCACCTTATGAGGAAATATATGCATGTTGAGGTGCAGTTTGAGTATGATTAAATTTCTTTGATTTTCCTTAGTTAAATTCACGTTTTGGTCTATCATGAAATGTATAACCAAATAGCAGGTCAGATGTCAATTTGACTAGATTCAAGTTTTGATTCAATTATCAACTGTATAAATATGTTTGCAGTTGAATTTTACAGGACTCCAGAATGTTGAGGTGCAGCTTCATTTATTGATTGTTGGATCTCCTCCCTTGATTGAGTATTTGTATTCTGTCGTATGATCTCTTTTAGTCTGTGAGCAAACATGCGCTTTTGTGACTATTGTTTTGTGGAGTGTAGTTTTACATACACCTCTTGGCTGCTCAGATTATTTTTCTGGAGAGGAAGGGTTGGGTTTGCCTGATTAAGAAGTTACATTTTTCTTCCACTTGACATTTGGAAAAAGTATAATTAGGTGAGACCGGATAGCAAGCACCAGGAAAATTGTTTGAGTTTTTTTTTAAAAATAATAATAATAACTAAAGGAGGTAAAGACATTGGGGAAGGAAACTTGTTTTCAACCCTCAAAAGTCAAAACCATACCATCAGGAAATTGTTGCCTCAAAACTATAAGTGGAGTGTCTGTCTTATCAGTTTGGTGTTAGAAAAGATGTAAGAATGGAGAGCCGCAGAAATTGAGATGGTTCAATTTAATTATCCCATATCAAAAACTCTCATGCTGAAGCTGTTTAGGTCAACTTAGTGCTCATCCTATTTTCAGTACGTTCCATGTATTACACGTTATGCCAATCATGCACCAGTCAATGACAATGATATAGACGAAAAATTGTGAATGGATAAATACTGTGCTGATTTGTATGCCTTGATACTAGATTTTTTCCCCCTTTGACAGGAGGGGAAAGGGGGAAAAAATCTAGTATCATGACAAGCAGTTTATATCATTTTTTTTTGGAGTTTATATTAGTTTCTTGATCATATATGCATCAGTTTCAGACCTCGCTTATTTTGATGTTGAGTAGGGATCCTTTCCAATTATAGTGTTATTAAGGAGCTAACTGAATTAGGCAATTGGCAGTGTCATATCCAACAGACATGCAGGGTGTGTTTTATTTGGACAATTTGAAAACAAGGACCTGAATGATACAATCATACATGTGCCTTAAAAGATGTTTTACTCTTTATTATAGATAATTATTGCCCTCAAATCAATCAGGAGGTGGTTGCTAGGTATGACTATTTCAGTTGAGTTAGGGAGCTCTTATGGTTTTCACATGGCTTATGTTACTTCCTTGATAAACCAGGATGTGTTCTGGTGTTCACTTCTTATATTATTTGCAGCTTTTTACAAATGTAGAATGGAACACTAGTTTTTATTCCATATGCTTGTATCTTTGAGAGTAGGTTTTCTTGTAGAATTAAGCCTTAACTATGTAGCTAGAATTTTAGACATGATTGGACGAACAAACTGTTTCAATCCTGACTTCCATCGATTTTTACTCCCCTGCAAATTAACTTTATACCTGCCCCGGTCATTGAATAATTGCGTTTCTGGTAGGAAATATATTCTCTATATTTGTTTCGTTTAACTAATCTGACTAGTTCTGGAGACATTACATTGTTAATTATTCAATCATGACTTTTTACACTGGTAAACGGACAAGTTGGAATTCTGCTTAGCTTTTGCATTAGGTTCTTTAAATTTAACTCGATCCTTCCAAGTTTTGCCTTGCCTTGAAGTAGAATTGTATACTCCTAATATACTTGATCTTTAATTCAGCTTTACTGACATTATGGTGTAATTATTCAATCATGACTTGTTCACTGGCAAACAGAAACGATGAAATTCTCGTTCGCTTTCACAAGTGATACATTATCAGGTTCCTTAACTCTAACTCGTTTCCTTGACAGTTTTCCTTGAATTAATTTCACTTATCTCACAGTTTTTTCAGCCACCTCACTGTGCAGAATAAGCTTTTTCATGATTCATCTTGGCTCTTGATATCATTGCAGTTTCATTTTTTAAATTTTGTCTGTGGATTAAGATGTTATGACTATGGCTTTCTTTTGATTCTGCATTATTCTCCCCCACTTTTCTTTTCTTTTGAAAATTAGACAGGGAGTCTGTTTGAGATTGTTGTGCAATGTTCAGGCTGTTTCTGTGTTATGCTATCACAAATTATCATTTCTTGTGTTAGTTGTTTCCCCTCTAGCCATGTCAAACTTTGTTTTTAGAAAGAAAATTGACATACGAAAGTCCGACCAATAGACCAACGTACCAACATGCATTAGTCAGACAAGGAAATTGCAATTTGATGCAATCATACACACCCCTCAACGATCCAAACCACAATAAAAAATGAACAAGTCAAATGCTTTAGTTCCGGAATAAAAATGAAACACGACCCTGTGCATGAACACTTGCTGTCAACATAGAAAAATAGCCATTACCTACTTTCTTTCATAGCTGGCTCTGGAAAAATATTCTACCCATTCTAACTCGCTTGGGCTGCGGTTAACTGTCTCTGTTCAGCTGCAGACATGTTCTTGATTTGGGTATTACTTGTCTTCTCATAATTTGCATTGGATAGCCTCTTTGGTTAGAATTTGGTAGGAAACTAGGATGGGTTTGACACACTTTTAGCTGTTACGTCTAAAAATCAAAAAGAAAAGTGGTGGTTTTATACTCTGATATACGTATATATATATATCAGTCTCAGAAATGATCCGAACAGGGTAATATATAACTTGTCAAGAATACATAAACCTTTCACTATATTTTTGAACAAGAATCATCAAAGGTATGATGGGGTCTGGGGTCCATTACCAATCATTGGCACATCTTGCTTAGGTATGGAAGCTCAAGATCATGATCAACTTCTCTTAATCTTCAACTCACTGAAACCACAGTTTAACGATTCTAACTAATTAATAATAATATCAAATGTAATTAGGTTTAGTATAAAGCATCTTTTAATATATTCAAACAAGAAAATACAATATGATTTGAATTGGGGGTTCCATGCTTAAATGACAAGCAATGACTTAATATGGCTAAGCAAGATATATTTACCAATGGAATAATTAATTCTTGGATTTGATCTGGACCAGCCACCTTTCTATTGACATAGAAGCAAAGGAAACTATAAAGAAAATATAGTCTAAAGGGGTGCAAAGATCCGTGATATCTATGACTCAAAAGCTGGTGATCCCATCAAAAGATGTTTCATATGAAGAATATGCTTCAATGTAAGTTTCAGTGGGAACAAAACTTATGGACCTTAAATATATATATTTACCTTATCCATAAGCCTGTTGCTCTATTTGAGCCAAACCTTCTTCTTCTCTTTTTTTTTTTTTTTTTTCAGAGGCCAATCATTGATATTATAAAGGAATAATTGGGTTGAAGGTATATCACCCATAAAAGTGCAGACGAGCACAACGTAAAATATATGTTTCCACCTCTTTTATGAAAGAGATGATGAGGGTGGTGGTCCATCACTAAAATTCCTCTCCCTAATAGTACTATAAGTATACTAGTATGTCCTCAATAATGTTGGTCATGGATATATAAAAACCCTTTTGGAAATGATTCAACCAAAATGCTTAATCCCTATCTTTCTTCAACTTTTCATCTATATTACTTTTTGGTTTAAGGTGTCTTTAAATAATATATACATATTTTTGAATAAGTTGTCAAGGGGTGGGTTCGAAAGCCCGCTCATGAGGGGAGGGGAATGCACCTCAAACTGACAAGCTGCCAATTGATCCGAAGGATCAAGTGTAAATAATATTATTTTTTAAGATTTCTACCTTTTAACAAGTAATATTAACCCTAAATTAATATAATTATCTCTATAAATTATAGTTTGGTGGTTATGAATTTCTTTTTATTCTCTTTCCTCATTTCCCAAATTGTAATCCTATTAAAAAAAAGTAGTGCTAGCTTTTAGGATAGGCAGCATGGTCTAGAAACAGGAGGTTGGGGACACTGACAACCAAGAATTATCACACCTAATATGGGGAATTAAGGGCCCTAAATGATCAACTGATTAACATCTAATGTGAAATGGCCCTGTAGCCTGAGGTCCTCTCTTAAAGAAATTACAAATTTCTATTAGGGGAAGGGAATCTTATTGAGGCATGGTTTTAGGTGATGACAAGGAGTGGATGTTGACCCATCAACAAAAGTGATAATACCAAACTAATCCATCTCATGACTAAGGATTAAATATTAAAAGTGGTTTTTGCTTGTTGATGAGTTTTATATTGTTTTGGTTGAAATGGGTATGAGTAGAGAAAATTAGAAAAATGTATATGAAGTAAAATACTCCATATCAAAAGATTAATTGATTTCAAAAGTAAACTCATCCTCTATCCCTTCCCCTTTAGCGGCATAAAAAGAACAATAAAACCATCCCTTTAGAACTTTTCTTTTTCCGCTTCCTCTTTCTGCCTCCCTTTTATGAAAGAAAACCTTGTCTCATCTCAGATTCAATTCAATGCTGAATTCATTGTTATCCATTTTATTTTATTTCATTTTCTATCTCTAGTTAGTTCTTGTGTCCTGAAAGAGCCAATGGGAAAGCACAGGCGGTTACGGGAGAGAGAGAGAGAGAGTGGAGTAGGAGTCAGTGATTCTAGTGGGTTCCTGCCCTAGTCCCCACCTGTATTTTCAACCATTTTTTAATGTTTTTTTGTTTTTTTTAATCTTTTTCTTTATTTCTTTTTCTCATTGCCCCAGTGCCCCACACACAAAAGACACAAACCAAAGAAGGCCTGAGACAGGTCCGCAAGGACAAGGTTTTCTGTACCATAGAAAACAGTTTCAAACAATCTTACAAGAGGTGGGTGGTGTAAAAAATCCCAGAAAGAAACAGTAATCAATCGGGTTGATTTCTTCACATAGAAGTAGAGGTAGAAAGCATGAGATAGAGACACCCATGAATGATCTAAAGGTGCAAGGAGAGAGTAGATATAACTGAGAAAAAGACCGGACCCTCCTCTTGTTGCCATTTGGATATATTTTGACAAGAAAGCTTCGATCTTTTGTCTCAGTGTGCCTCTTTTCCTTAGCTTTGAGTTTGGCTCCAAGTGAATTTCAAAGGCAAAACTGAGGTAAACAGAAACGAATTCTTGGAAAAGAAAAGAAAAGAAAAAGGTTCTCCAATTCCTCTGTTTTCTTGTTCTTCTATATTCTGCAAGCAAGTTTTCATTTTCAGTTTCTTGCTCTAGAATGGTCTGAAAGAGGTTTTGCATGGCGAGCCATAGAGTTGGGGAGACAGAGCCTTCAAGCAGCCACAACCAACATGTTCCTTATGCTGTTCTTCATGGAATGAATGGTCCTACTAGTTTCATGTGTGTTTTTCAAGTTCTTCTCTTTTGGAAGCAAAATGATTGATTTCTGTGTAGCTTACTTAATTTCCATTTCAATTCTAATAGCTTTTGTTTTCTTCTCCATTAATGGGTTGTCAATTTTTCCCTCCCAGAAATCAACAAGGATCTGCTTTTGATTTTGGAGAGCTAGAAGAGGCAATTGGTCTTCAAGGAGTTAAGATTGGAAATGATGAAGCCAAAGCACGTATGCTTCCATCTCCCTTTCATTTCTCCTTTTCTGACGTTTGGAGAGTGAAAAAAAAAAAAAAGAAGAGAGATGGAGAGAAACAGACAGAGATTTAGAGCTTTGAATTTGTCTTTGGGGGGAGGGGGCAAAGTTGGAAAGGGAAAAGGGTGGATTACCATTCCTGATACAGTAATGATACTTTGGAGGAAACTTGAATGGCGTGATGCTGCAAACATGGAAACGTGACCAGCTTCTTGTAAAAAAAAAAAAAACTGACCTGCTAAGCATAATTTTACCCACTCCATAACTGCAGAAAAGCAGGGCAGATTTGGTTTCTTCACCTTTTTGGGTTAGATATTATTTATGATGAGAAGGAGAAATCTTTAATTTTGGATGATTCTCTGAGATTTTGCTTTTGTGATTCTCTACAGCTTTATTTACAGCAGGCAGACCTGCAGCTACTCTGGAGATGTTCCCTTCTTGGCCAATAAGATTTCAGCAAACCCCAAGAGTAGGTTCTTAGCCTTGTTTTTCTACCTCTTTGACCATGTCTCTTCTGGATTAATGGGGTATATATGGTAGTACAAATTTTACATAATTAACAAGTGGAATGGGTTTTTGAATCCAGGGAAGTTCAAGGTCAGGAGGAGAAAGCACAGATTCTGGCAGTTCAGCATTGAACACCCTCTCAAGCAAAGCTGAGGCTCATCTGCTTGAACCTGAATCTCCCATTAGTAGAAAGGCATCTTCTTCAGATCACCACCTCAACCAGCAGCCGGCACCACATCAAGTTCAACAACAGATAAACATGGATGCCTCAAGAACGCGAACATCACAGGATCGATCAGCTGCTAACCCACCCCATGAAAAGGTACTTAAACTATTCTTACATCCTTAATAATTAAATCTCCCACAGTTCTTTTTCCCTCTCTTTCTTTTCCCTCTCTTTCTTCTCTCATACATATCCCAACAACTCAGGAAAAAGTTGGTATCATTTTTTTTTTTTTTGTTATTTCTACTGTTTTTCATCTGTATGAGGATATCTTCATATCTTCATATATATTCATTTCAAACTCACGGATCCCAACAAGTCCACAGAAGATAAAAAAGATAGGAGTTTTTCTGATTCTAAACGATTTTCTGGCGCATACGGAGAGAAAGCTGTACACTTTGAGATGGATAGACAGAATCTGCACAGTGTTCGCCACTATTTTTCATCTTTATAATAATGACCCACTTTATTCAATCCCCATAACTCAGAGATAAAGTTATTGTTTTAGCCTTTAAAATTCGGTTTCTTACTCATAAAGACAGCAAGAGAGAAAATGGAAAAAAATTATGATGATGATTTCGATTTTTGCTATCCACACCATGTTAATGATAACCTGTTAGAACAACAGAAGTCACATCATCATCATCATCTTCAGAAATCAGCAAACTTTCCCGGAAATTCTGTGAGATCTCTCTCTAATCATTATGTATTTTCTTTTTCTTCAAAAAATTAATGTTGAGAATATATAGCTATCTCCTTCGGGATGCTGCAGTGCAGGTTCACGGAATACATGAATTTTCTGTCTCTTTTTCTACTAGTTTCTCAGCTACCAAACAGAAACATACCTTACCAACTTCCAGTCCATATGACCATATTCTAAACCAGCAACCACATGCTTAAATCTCCTTTTATTTTCTTCTCTCTTTATCATTTTAGACATTAACTGATACATATACATGTTACAATGTTGCAGAGAAGGAATTCAACTTCTGATAAACAACTTGATGCTAAGGTACGCAAAAAAAACACAACCCACTCAAATTTTCTCCTTCAAAATCTTCTTTTATTCTCTTGGCTAAAGCTCCAGTGTGCTTTGGTCTCAGACACAGAGACGTTTGGCACAAAACAGAGAAGCTGCAAGGAAAAGCCGTCTGAGGAAGAAGGTATTTTTATGGGTTCTTTCTCTGCAACATGCATGATCAAATAATTCAAAACGTGCTTTTCATACACACATTTAACATGCAATAATGTTTCTTTTTATTTTTTTTCTTTTTGACCTCTAAACAGGCCTATGTGCAGCAGCTAGAATCTAGCAGAATTAAGTTAACTCAGCTAGAACAAGAACTTCAGAGAGCCAGATCTCAGGCATTTTTCTTACCTTTCCAATTTTTTTCCTTTTTTTTTTTTACGTGTATTTTGTATTGACTTTTTTTTTTTTTTTTTTTTTCATGTTTAATAGGGACTTTTCTTGGGAGGATGTGGTGGTACTATGGGAAATATCAGCTCTGGTGAGTTTACAAGTAAAAAATTTTTAGTATTTTTTGCCAAAAATACCCCTAACAGAAACCAAAGGTCTAGAGAATTAAGATGGGTTTTGCATTTTCTGTTGGGGTATTCTTATGAAAGAGCAGATGTGGCAGAACTTCTAAAAAGAAGTTATTAAATTCTTGATTGATACTATATGTATGATCCAATTCACTGAATATTGCTGGCTGAAGATTGACCCAAGAGCCCTTTTTTGCAATTAATTGAAGGCTGTTTGTTTGGCTTTTTCCAAACATGAAAACCTTTTCCTGTATGGAGAATTCAGTGAATTATTGATTCATTATGGGACTTTTTCCATTTCTAGAAATTTAAAAAAAAAAATCTTATTTAAGGTAAATTTTAGGGGATATAGTAAAAAATTACATAATTGAAATTAATCTTAATATGGTTATAGGAGCTGCAATATTTGACATGGAGTATTCAAGGTGGCTGGAGGATAATCAACGGCTCATGTCGGAGCTGAGGACGGCACTGCAAGCTCATCTACCGGACGGTGATCTCAGGGTGATCGTCGATGGATGCATCACACATTACGATGAAATTTTCCGGCTGAAGGGAGTGGCTGCAAAGTCTGATGTGTTTCACCTCATAACTGGCATGTGGACTACTCCAGCTGAGCGGTGCTTCCTCTGGATGGGTGGCTTTAGGCCCTCTGAACTCATCAAGGTTTGAACCTTCCCTTCTTTTGCATTTACTCTTACCTTGTTACTACATAGTGCATATACCGGGGTAATGAAGGTAAAAAAACTATATATGGAGGATTACCCAAAGTTGATATTGCCAATAAAGGGCCTTGAACCGAATATTCCCTTCTCAAGGACACAATTTTGTTTTTAAAGAAGTTGAACAAAGAGAAATGCCCTTGTGTGGTCCTTGTCCTATATTTATTTATTTATTTTCAGATATCCTTTTCCTATCACCTAGAAAGGATGGTAGGAATTGGTTATTTTCCTCAACTTTTGGGAAAACTGTCCCACCAAAAAGCCTAATTATATAGGATGATTATGTATAATTACCAAAATACCCTCACTGTTTTTTTTTTTTGGTCATTTTTTTTATGACTAATATTGATTTATTTTGGTTGATACATTGATCAGATGTTGATGTCACAGTTAGACCCCTTAACAGAGCAACAAGTGATGGGTGTATACAGCCTGCAGCATTCCTCACAACAGGCAGAGGAGGCACTCTCCCAGGGCCAGGAGCAGCTTCAACACTCCCTAATTGACACCATTGCTGGTGCACCTGCCATTGAAGGAATGCAACAGATGGTTGTTGCTTTAGGAAAACTTGCCAATCTTGAAGGCTTCGTTCGCCAGGTAATTAAATTTTGTTTTGTCATGGGATGTTATATACATATATTCCGGCATAAAACAGAGGAACAAAAGAATTCTTCCCCTTACCTCACATTTGTACCTATTTTGAAATGTTGCATCATTGATTGGTATCATTTTACTTTTAACATGAATCTTTATGATGCCATTTTTTTGTGGTGCATTGGGTACTTGATTAAGTAGGTCAAATGTTCTTTTCTAGTCCTTTCAATTTATTCCTTTCTGTGCGTTATCTTGTTTTGCGCCGCAATTGAATCCAGAGTGCAGGGTTTCATGCTTTCTCTCATCATCTTGATGTAAACCCCTTTTTGCTTTGATCATTTCCTTAGCTTGAAAAAGCACCAAAAACATGATGTGTTACAGGCATGTTCATTTTAATTATCTTATAATTCATAATCATTCCTGCCATCCCATTGAAAAATTAAACCCCTAGACTTCCTTATGTATCTTTGATCAGCTTGAATGTCGTGTTTGACCATCACTTCTAATATATCTTACGTGACACCGCACGCATAAAATCAATGCCTTTATTATGTACTTTGATTAGTATTTGATTGATTGATTTTTTTTTTTTTTATGAATATGTGTATAATTAATGTATTGCTTTGCCTATAAGTCCATTGGAAAAGTTGAAACGCCAAAACTTTGATGGAGTATTTTTATCTGAAAAGGTTTCCATCAGAAAATTGAAAGTGATGTATGTTGAAATCAAAACCGTAGCTAGGTCCATCAATTGGAAATGTTGAATGATTATGATGTTGGAAAAAAGACGAAGAAAACTAAAATTTCTAATTATATTTTCTATTTCATGATTTTGATTGAGATGGATATACAACCCGTGGGTAAGACAACTTCTTGAGTTTAATTTCAACCCTTTTGAAAATATTTAGGACTTGTACCCATGTGTTATTGAATTAGGTACCTATCATGGTGGTTGCACTTCTTTTAACTTTCTCTAATTAGACCCCTTTTTTTATTTTTTTGTCTTAATTTTTTAAATTTGTTTGATGTAGGCTGATAATTTGAGACAGCAAACCCTTCACCAACTTTGCCGAATATTGACCGTTAGACAGGCGGCGCGATGTTTTCTGGTGATCGGAGAGTACCATGGGCGACTACGGGCACTAAGTTCATTATGGGCATCCCGTCCAAGAGAGTAAGATCTTTGACAAATTAATCTCACCCTTAATAATGGAATGGAAGCACCATGCGTGTATATATATTTCTATGGCACTATCAATGATTTATTAATTTAAGTAGAAAAAGTTTAATTTTTTTAAAATAAAATTTTGAATTCGAATTTTATGAAAATGAAGAGACATCTACTAAGAGAGATTTTCTTTATATAGCCTAACTTAATTCAATTTTGAATTAATTAAAATCTAATATAATTTAAATATGAGAGAATTAATATATATATATATATATATATTTTTTCTATGGCACTTGTAGGAAGCTGTCATTTTCAAGAGTCCTTTTCTGTTTTCAACCCAAATAACTTAAAGAAAATATAACACCTTTTATTCTTGTGTTCTCACTTTCTAAAGGCACTAAGGATTAAAGTTGTTAATGGCAGATGTTTAGTGTTTTCATTCTCTTTTTTCTCTTTTTAAAGTCATTAACTTTTATTAATCGTTATTGTAATCATCTCGGCTTTTGTATTAGGACCTTGATTGGCGATGATAATTCATGCCAAACAACTACGGATTTGCAAATGGTTCAACCCCCACAGAATCACTTCTCCAACTTTTAATCAAGAATCATCAGCAATCCAGGCTGATGGGTGATTAAATACTTGATGTTCAAGATGATACAACCGTGTTCTGGATTTTAGTATCTTGATCAAACTACTTTAGAGATAGGTTCTCTGTCTTTTTTTTTCTCCCTTTTTTTTTCCTTATGCTCTTAAGATCTTTGTATTTTAAAGCTATCTTTGTAAATGTATATCAATTTCAATATGCAAGAGGAAGTTTCTGCTTCCTTTGAGAAATTTAGAGAACAATTAATGGAAAATTTGAGGTATGCATATTTTTATTTAATCTGTCTCCTCTGATTCACTGGCTCTTGGCCGAAGCTGAGCGCCGAGTGGTGAATTTTAGAGGAAGATGTGATTCCATTTCTTATTCACATATTTTATCAATTAAGTTACAAGCGTAATACATGCCTTTGAAAAAATACTATCATGTTAAAATCACTTATTCTATTCTATGAAGTATTAAAAAGAAAAGAAAAAGGGCGGTGGTGAGAAGGCGGTGTGGGTTTGTTGTTACTCTTTAAAGAAGTGGTTGTGAAAAAGACAAGAGGAAAGAAATGTAGACTGAGAATACTGTCTTTTTGTGAAGGGTATTTTACAAAATTGCTGTGGAAAAAGAGAGGAAAGATGGGCTGTTTCTCTTCATTTATGTCAAGTGGTTGTGAGGGGTTTTTCTAATGCAGCAAAACAAAAAATGGAGAGACCGTATAGAGAGAGATGGACACTTGTTTGCTTTGGCGTAAAAAAATAGAATGGGGAGCAAGTTGCATGAATGGTGCACAAAAAATGGGTTGCACAGAATATCATGCACATATTATGCAAACAATATTTCTTAAAGGAGGTTCGCATGGTGGCACAAAGATTTGATTTTCACTTTATTGATTAGGATACGATTTTTTTGCAAATGCCATGCTTCATGAATCTTTTAATTTTGGTGTAGACTTATCTATTGATACTCATATAATTCAATAATTATGAGCAAATATTAATTTTTTTTATAAAAATTAGATTATATCTTCTATCTTTTCAATTCAATTAATATGAATTATATATATTAAAATTAAAAAATCTATGAAAAATTACCTTATCAATATCAATTTTTAGAACTTAGCTCCTTTGCCAATCAAATTACTGTCATTCCTTGACATTCTACTTCATATATATATATGCTCAATATTCAATTATAGTGCAGCATATCTTTGATGGACGAATGAACATGTATCAGCATGCTCCTGCAGCTCCACTTTAATCAAACCTTAAGTAAATAATCATCACTGGAGTATCATTATGATTAATTTTTCATAAACTTTTTTGGGGCTTAGAGAGCAAACGTACAATAAAAAGCAAAAATCAGCCTAATTCATGATTAAAAAATAAAGTATTTTTTATTTTCTCCTGTGCATTGCTCAGAGGGTTAGGGTTTGGTGATGAAAGGTTTACTCCAGAGGGTTTTCTCTTCCGTAAAGGAGTCCTCCTTACTTTCTTCCCCCCAATTACTTCCTCAATCACAACCAACTATCTTGCTTTGGAGCCTTTAACCTTAGGGACCACAAGGCAACTACATATCCTAGTTTGACATATCTGAGATTGACTTGCAATGGCGTATTTGTTGTCGATACCAACCTCCAGGCTTGTGTGTTGAATTGTATTGGTTGGATGGCAACACCTACTCTTAGTCTACGGGCTTGTGTTGAGTTCAAAATGGATGGCTTAGAGGACATGCCACTGCAACAGGTGTGGAACCAGGAGGATGGAAAGATTCTATCTTAGAGAAATCTGTTGACTAGCTAGATGGCCGAATTATTCAGAGGTAAAGGTGTGGTTTATAGTGATGATGGACATTTTGATTATTCCTCGTCTAACTTGATTAATTGTGTATGATTTCAAAGTTGGGGTACTTTTTCCCACTAGGATAATTAGCTTTATGAATATGGTTGGACTATCAATGAATAAGAATTGTTGCTAACCTAATTACTTGCTTTCTGGTTTAATTGGTGTGAATGTTCAAAAGCTCAGGATGCTTATAATGACTTTCTTTTTAAATTTGTAACTTTGCTATGCTCATGCAATAAGTGCTAATTCAATCTCTAGGTGTAGATAACTCTTTTTATTTTATTATTTAGATTCATTATAAATATAGTTTAAAGTATTGTAAGTTATGCTTTCATTTTAAGCTATAGTTCCATACTTTAAAGATTTTGACGTAATCTTATTTTCTATTTTCAATAATAATCTTTAATTTTCATTAAAAGTTAAAGTATTTTAGTCTTTTTTTAATATGAATTTATTTAGATGTAGTTTAGAGTAATCTTCTCTTAATTTTTTAGAGATAAAATGGTTGAACTCTATTTTCAATGTAAGAAAAGTGTTTATTAGTAAGGTTTCTAAAAATTTGAAGATAAAGATTTAAAATTATATCGTTTTAATAAATTTATATTTAAAAAGATTAAAATAATCTATTTAAAATTAAAATTGAATTTATTTTAATCTTTTTTCTTGTGATATTTTAACGAAAATGACATAATTTTAAAATATTTATTCTTTTAATTTTTTTAGAG